TAATTACTTTCTAAATCCCATATCAACCTCAACCACTTGAACAATACAAGGAGAGACAAGACACTGCACTTTAATGCTTTCAAATTAACAATTTACAATTGCATGAATTATTCTTGAATTGACCAAAGTGTGTAGAGGGAGAAGGTTACATTAAAAATATAACTTTTAAAAATGTATGTTAAAATCCACTATTGTTTTAAACAGAATTAATTGTTCTATAGTCTATGCCAGTGTTCTCAAACTCGCGGCCCGCGGGGTGATATTTTCTGGCCCCCTACTTGACATTAAAGTTTAATGTTAGTGCGGCCCGTCGTTGCGTGTGCCGCGCCTTTAAAAAAAAATTTTTTATCCCTTATGGGCTACCATAGATAGTCTCGTGACAGCTTACGGTGGGTTTGTTGTCAATAGTTGTCATAGACAACCGCGAAGTACAAACATACTGCGCCTGGAAAAAACGAGCGCGTCGCTTCAATTATGAGCTATACATGTGTAGAAAGAATTCAATAAGACGGGCAGACATGACTGCAAATATTTGTATTTCAAAAGCAATAATTGTTTTTCTAAGTATAATAAAAGGAAATGTGCCTTCCAAAAAAAACATTCAATATCATTAATGTGTTGTATAAAGAAAATAAAAAGGACATAAGCAAATATAAATATCACAAATATGTGTTATAGACAAAGAAAGTTTGTAAAATGAACTTCAACTGTCAAAAGGACAGCTCATGAAGAATCAATCGTGTACAGAAAGGAATGTTCAAATTCAGAGGAACAGTTCAGAAGAAACGTTAATAATAAATATTGAGAAGATTGGATCAGTTGTGCTCCTTTTTTGTAATACTTGAATACTGTTTTTTTGTGGAATACTTGATGCAGCCCAGCCTGACCCAGACTCTACCTCCAGCGGCCCCCAGTTAAGTTGAGTTTGAGACCCCTGGTCTATGCAGTATTTAATGCAATTACATCAGATTTTACTTTTAAATTACAGAAGAATTAAGAGTAATCCCTTTAATTGAATTACAGTATTTAGATTACTTGGTAATTAATTACACCCAACACTGTATAACAGTAATTAAAATGTAAACTTAAGCATTGACTCGAGCAACTATTTTCTCCCAAGCTGAAACAGTTCTGCTGGTGAGAAATATGCAGACCTCCGTTTGTCTGGCGCTGTTGCCATGGTGACTCATAATATCTGCGCTCCATTGATAATGGCTTTTTATAATTGTGGTGCACACGCTTAACTCAGAGTCAGTCAACTTAGAGTTGATTGAACTTACTCACTTCAGCTGTTCTGTAACCGAAAACTCAGTTTCCCATCTCAGGGTAAGTCAACTCAGAGTTCAAGTTTTAACTCAGTCTCAGGGTGCTTCTCATTTCTTATTTGTGCATCCTCGTTTCCTTTCCTCGCTTCCTTTCCTCGCGTCTCAGCTCCACCCCCTGTAGGACGGGAGGGAAGGCTGCAAGGAAAAAAAATGAGGACGGAGGAATTGAATGAAAGCTTTTTTATACATTGGAATACTTGATCACTCGAACGTCACTTCACTGCGTCATCAGCAGCGCTCAAAGGATCTGCCCTTATGTTGTTAAAGTTTGTTTATTTAAGAAATTAATAATAAATAATAATAAAGCAAGATACCTTGTTGAAATATGTGAGTTGTGTGGTTTATGTAAACTACAAAAGTAAAGTATAAATTCAAATGATTGTGACAGATGTGAAGGGGGAGGAGAATTGATACGTGCGTCATGTTTAGTCGATAAAACTCTTCCGCGAAGGGTACACCTGTGTATCCTCGCTCATAGCTCCTCTGGAAGCTCCTCACTCCTCGATCCTCGCCTCCTCGCCTCCTCGCGGTGCAATTAGAGAATTGAGATGTCCTTCAAGATGGCTGAGCGCGATCGGTTTCCGGGTCATAGGATGGAGGACGGAGGAGCGAGGAGACGAGGAGGGATATTGAGAAGCACCCTCAGAGTTGGTTGAACCTCCTTATTGAAACGGGCCCCTGGAGGGCCATACGCCTTATTCACGGCAGCGCCATCTTTGATTTTTAATGAGAATGAAAGCGAGGCTGTGAGGGATAGACATGCATCTCTTCAATGGGCTGTACTGTTATTTAATATGTTTTCGTTTTGTTCTGCTCATGAAACACTGGAAAAATATCTTTCCAAGAAATTTCAGTTGACAAAAAACTCCCGACAATATAAGCTGTGGAAAATTGTGAGTAATATAGGAGCTTTATTCAGCTTTTTACAGCGGATGCCATTGGAAACACGGTAAGTCTATCCCTCACAGCCTCACTTTCATACCTGTCATGGCGCTGCTCTGAATAAGGTCTATTGTCCTACAGAGTTTAGCTTCAACCCTTATCAAACACACCTGAACAAGCTAATCAAGGTCTTCAGGATTACTAGAAAGTTACAGGCAGGTGATTTTTTCAGGGTTGGAGCTAAACTCTGTAGGACAGAGACCGATGTTGCCCATCCCTGGTCTAGGGTTTAAGTAAAGGGGGAAAAATAATAATCCAAATGGTGAGGATATGTTGATACAGCAAAATAAAGGTTCGAGCCAATGACTTCTCCTGAGGACTGCCGATCCCCTGGGAGAACTGAAATTGATCTTCTTCTTCTTATTGCTATTTTATGGCGGTTGGCATCCAACTTATTGGTGCATTTCCGCCACCTTCTGCTCCGGAGTGTGGAACAGAAAATAGGTTTACAGACTAAATCCCCCTCTCCCACTCACACACACACCTCCTCCCATTCATTCTGCATGTTAATAATTTTAATAGTAATAACAATTATTATTACCACCATAATTACAACATCAATATTTATACTTTAACCCTCATCCATACTACCTTTATTTATATTCTATTAAAAACCCCTATTTCTCTTAAGAAAATCATAAGAATTCTAGTCTGAACCCTATCCCTACTCAATAACCCTTTTAATGTGATGTTCTGAACTCCCATCTCCCTCAGCTTATTCCTCATCATCTCTCTCTGTGCTCCATACCTACTACATCTCAAAATAATATGCTCTACAGACTCCTCTTCCTGGCATCCTTCACACAATCCAGTATTATGTTTCCCTATTAACTTAAGCGTTTTATTTAATAAGCAATGTCCCATTCTTAACCTAGAGATCACAATTTCTTGTCTCCTATTTCCACTTCCAACCCTTGTTTCTTTAACTTCCCTTTGCATTTGATATAAGTGTCTCCCTGTCCTCTCTCTATCCCACATTTCTTGCCACTTTTGATTTATTTTCTCCCATATCACACTTTTACATTTACATTTATTCATTTAGCTGACGCTTTTATCCAAAGCGACTTACAATTGCTATATTACAATTGCTATATTACAGAGGTCGCACGCCTCTGGAGCAACTAGGAGTTAAGTGTCTTGCTCAGGGACACATTGGTGTCTCACAGTGGATTCGAACCCGGGTCTCTCACACCAAAGGCACGTGTCTTATTCCACGCGGATTTTTTTATTTGCATTCATGTTTTGCTGGAACAGTCTGCAGAGACACATAAAACAGAAGACAAAACGCTCACCTGTTACTCCTTAGAATACTAATTACACTAACTCCGCCCCCATTGTGTGATTGAGGCAGACAAAAGTACTAAAGAAAAGCCACTGATAAAAAAATTTTAAAAATCAGCGGCGTGGAGAGTAACTTTTAACGCGATGACCCAAGTTCGAATCTGCCGTTTTCCAAACTCATTCTTCTCCATTTTCCCATCACACATCATCTCAGAGAAGCGTTTATTTTAGATAGAAAATATTTGAAAAGTGGGAATAAAGTATGCACGACTGCACGTATTATCTTGCATACCTAAACTCTTTCCCCGCCAAACACAGAATTTTCCGTGATTCTGTGTTTTCACTGTTATACGTTAGGGGGTGCTATGACCTCTTCTGATAGAGTGTTCTTATTGCACGTTCAGATATTCATACAACAAAATTCAACCCTTTAAGCCTTGAAGGCATTTTTAGAATTGTTTTTTGTGACATACATAAAAGTAAAGACGCTTAACTCCAAAAATATAGCAACTGCATATAGCAACAGAAACTGCTGATGAAAGACAAAAAAAGTGCACAAGGGAAATTTTACATGCAATAACTCATGAAGGAAATAAGGTAGAAGTTCCCCAACATGTGAGCAGCATCCCTCTGGCTCCGTCAGGACATCCCAATCCACCAGTTCCGTCATGGCCTCCTCTCCTGGCCACCCCATGGCTCTTCCTCTTGAGCCTTCCCGCCGCCTTATTGTCATCATCAACCTTCCCGCCACCTAGGTTTAGTTTTTGTTCTCGAAGTGAGGAAGTGTCTACTGGGAGTGTGGGTATTATGTCATGTTGAGACAGCTTAGTTTAGTTTTCTGTATTTAGTTTCTTTGTTTGTTATTTAGTCCCTGTTCATTTGTTTCCATGGTTTATAATTTTTTCATTGTTTTCTGACACCTGTTCATAGATTCTCCCTTCACTCAGTTTAGTTTTTCCAATCCTGGTCATGGAAACCCATCGCTCTGCACATTTTTGATGCCTTTTTCAACTAGATTTTTCTACTGGTCTGCTTATTTCTATAATAATGGTCATGATTCCTGGCTGGATTTAATCTTGCTTTGATTGTGTACAGATCCGGGGGTAGTAAATTAAGAACTTTTATGAAAGAACAACCATCTACTGTATACAGTATCTATAAAAGACAGATAATCTATATACAGTAGTCAACATTTGAAGTGGATCAAAAACTTTCATCAAACTTACACATGAATTTTGAACAATACCCGTTCGTGTACTAGGACAACTTTCATGAACTTTTTTTGATCTACTTCAAATGTTGACTACTGTAGTATTAGTCAATTACCTCCACCTAATGACCACGACTGGCGAGTGTGTGACCGTGAGATCCGTATGCACAGCTGGTGTGGTAATCTGAGTGACATTGGAATCCAAATGAATAAGTACAATCTAAAGTATACAATTATAATAATCAAATGTCTGAATAATTTATTAGACAATGACCAATATTCATGTAACCTCTCAGCCTAAATTTGAGGCCGATAAAGAGTTAAATTGGAACTAAATTACATTGTGCACCAAAAAGACAGAACGGGTAGCAAAACAATTGGATGCCATTGTTGGGGCAATGGATTTAAATCAAATAAAAGGGTCTATATCTCAGCTCTTTATGAATATAAGCAATGTTCTTTAAAAAAAAATTCTATTAACTTTCAAACAAATCTCATAGTCTGACATAAGCAGCTAACAAAAGCAGGTAAGATGACACTAAGAAAACTCCTTCATGAATCGCTTGTGGAATGTCTTCAGTCTTTGTAGAACATCTTCCATGGTGTCCTCATGAGTTGCCACAAAAAGCCTGAGAAACAATGGAGAATTTGGTTTTCACAGAGAATTTATAGGACACACAGAATATGCTTTCAATTAAGATGGGCTAACGTTTACAGCTTATTTGAATGTCTACTATGGTAAGCATGACTGGCTGTAATTTAGTCAGAATTAATTCATATACAATTTGGCAATTGAAAACAACGATAAAATCACACAGATAAAAAGTAATGACAAATTCACATTTTCCAGCATGATTTAGTTACGAATGTTTTGTTTAAGTTATCCATTCACATCACTCATGCAACAGTGCTAGTGCAAAAACCTGAAGTGATGGCTGTCCTTTCTTTGTCCATATTCACAGCCCGGCCTCACATGCAGACCTGTTTCTTCTAGCAAATGCAAACAATACAGCATGTCTGGTTCCATCTGTTTTTTCTACAAAGAGAAAACAACTTTAATTGTAGAAAATATGAGAACTACAGTCAGTATTGCCTAAAGAGATTTCTTCACTGCTGTGATTCTGACCAAAAAGAAAGACCAAACTCATACCTTACTGGTGATGTAGGTTATACTATATTGGCTACAGGCAAACAGATGCACTCAGAATATGAATGGCTTGCTCCATTTCTGCAAATCCGTTTTTGTGAATGAATGACTCTTTCTACCTGTTTCTTTGGTCTTCGTCAACACACGCTTGCACCACCTACTGGTAAGGCTGTCTAACAGCAGATGATGATTTTGCATCGGTACTCTATTGCTATTCCTGCAGTTCCCGGATGTGCAATGTTGAATTTTCTGTTGAATTTGAACCACCGAATGTGGAAGCAAATTTGTAAAGCGAAATATGATGGACCGAAAATTGCCTATCGAATATTATAGGCTGTATTTTAAAATTATTTTGGAAGTGAAATCTGAAGGGTGAATGTGGATTATTGAATTTTTAATAATGCAAATGTGTGTAAAATATTTTGAATTGAAATATTCACAGCTTAAATAAACGGCCATGTTGAATTTCAGCCCATAAATATGCAAGCCCTAAAAATACAATGCATTAAAATGCAAGCACGGTTAAATGCAATCATTTTATTTTTCTCGGTTTGTTCATTTCAACAAGCTTTTTTTGTTTCAACTACATTTGACATTATTTTACTTCCATATTACTCATTGTTTTCATTGTCTTATTGAAAAGTACTAAACTGTTTGTGTGTTAATAGTTCAATCAGATTGTGTTTGACTTGCAGTTGTGATTTAGAAGAAGGTAAGATTTATTTGTATAACATTTATGAGCATTCAAATGACATTTTTTCCCCTGTCATGTAGGGATGCTACTGACTTTTAGACTGAATGATGAAATAGGCTAAATGGCAGTTGTTTCCAGGATTTGAAATTGCTATTATACAGATTGGTGGTGATATTTACTGTATGTCCTCTGTAGTTACTATTATTCAACAACAGTAGTACTTTTAATTTAGTGTCATTCACAAATTGTTGTAATACACAGATTCTCACCTTGGCCAATTTTATTGCTCTTGGAGGTAAGTGTAGACAGGGGAAGACAAAAAATCCCGCCTTCAATGGCTGGCAGCTGATCCCCGGTATCTCACCAAAGACCTCTTGAATCCGACAAGCATTTTTACTTATCATATTTTTAATGGACTGGATCTCCTGACAGAAAAGATTAATTAAGTTCAATACAAAATCAGAAGGTTGTGATAGACAGATAATTGGTTTGACTTATATTTTATTTTACTGATATTGACACTTTTCAACTTTATCAGTTCTTTTGTATCAGGTCTACCAATACATGAGACCATTTGGTGAGTCTCTAAAACAAGGAAAACCAGCCCTTCTCTTGGAGAGCTACCTTCTTGCAGAGTTCAGTTCCAACCCTGCTCCAACACATCTGTCACATCTGTAATTTTCGGCAATGATCCTGCACCCCAGCTGTGAGGGGGTGACAGACCACATTACCACTTCCTTGATTCCCTAGAGGACATCGGAGAGAGTTAGAGCAAGAACCGCTTGCAAAAGCCATGGGCTCTCGATCAGCATAAACCACGTCGCCAAAAAGCCCTGTCTGGGGAATGGGCGCATCCAGCAGGAAAGCCTTCTCCCTGTTACATACGTGAACAAATTTGTTGGTACCCTTCCATGAAGTAAAAAGTAAAGAACCCAACATTTTCTCTGAAATAACTTACTGACAAAAGAAATATTCCATATTTAATTTTAAAAAAAAAAACAGACTTTGCTTTGGATTTTTGATTCAACAGAATATTTAAATAAAACAATTGAAAATGGCATGCACAAAAATTATGGTAACCTTAACCTAATATTTTGTTGCATTACATTTAGAGGCTTTTTCTGTAGCTCCCAATGAGACTTCTGCAATTGTCAACAGGTACGTTTTGGGTCATTATCCTGTTGGAGGACCCATGATCTGCGACTGAGACAGAGCTTTATGATGCTCAACACAGTACATTGCACTCTGCCTTGATAGTTTTGAGACCAGATGGTGGACCTGGATGTCAGCGGAGACCACAACAACTAGACGAGCCCTAGAGACAAAACCCCAGTTAGACAGTGTCGACTAGACAGCCTTCTGCAGAGATCCTTGGCAAATACCATGGGAACCAGACAAAACCTTTGCTCAGACCCCTATGACCAGTTACAAATCCCCCTTCCTCCATATGCCAATGTGATGTATCCTAATCTTCAAGCAGAAGCAAATGGATGAAATATTCTGAATGATATCAATCCATAATCTGACTTGGGATGCAGCCTGGAATCATATTCACATCATGTTCATTCGTTTAGCCAGAGGAGAACTTCATCCCCGACTGAGCCTGGTTTTTCCCAAGGTTTTTTTTTCTCTGTTTCTGTCACCTGATGGAGTTTGGGTTCATTGCCACTGTTTCCTCTGGCTTGCTTATTTCACACTTAATATTCAGGAATATTATTGATTTGACTGCACTGACACAATCGCTGAACTGAGCTGGATGATTACATCACTGTTTTCTGCAGAGCTGCTTTATATCTGAATTGAACTGATTTCATAATTTATCAACTTTACACAGATATTGAACTGAATCAACACTGAACTGAATAGCATATTCCTGTCTGGCTTTTTTATGACCTCATGCCCATGAGGGAGTCCAGATGCTCCCTGCTCCAGTACATCAAGTATGGTTCATGGATTACTGGTTCTCCCCTCACAGTGGAAGCAGCAAGAGAGGAAGCCTGCTCCACAATTTCCAGCCCAAAATCCTCCAGTGGACTTCATAAAGCCAGAACTTAAACCCACGCCCACTGCAGACACAGAGCCAGAGCCTACGCCCGCAAAAGACCCCCCGCCAGAGGCTACATCCGTCCAGGAGCTCAACTCTGCCGGGTGTCTGACCAGGTGTTGGTGCCAGTTCGTACATCTGTCCCCTTGGGGGCTTTAGTGGAGCTGGATGAAGTGGAGGCTGGTCATCCCATCCTCCAGAATCTGAATTCAGTCCACCTCAGTCTGGAGTGATAAATTACCTGATGACTTCATGTGCCAAAGCCCTTCCTCCTTGCTAGTTCCGTCCAGCATCCAAGTCTCCTCGTCTCTGCTGGTTCTGCCCAGCCCCATGTCTTCTTCGTCTTCTCCTTAGCTTCCACCAGTTCAGCCTAGCTCGCAATGCCTCGGGTCTCCTGGTCCCCTGCTCCGCCTTGGTGTGATGATCCCTGGCTCCCACACGGGCCTCCGAGCCCATTACTCCACCTTGGCTCGTACCTCTCTCGGTTCGACCGGGGACCATCGTCCTTCCAGCTTCACTGGGCCCCCTTATCCCTCCGGCTTCACCTTAGTCAGTTCCGTCACAGACTTCCGGGCCTTCAGCTGCACCTCGTTCCTCCACCTCTTTGGTTCGGTTGGACCCCTCCTTCCCTCCGGCTCCTCATCAGTCCTCAGTCCCACCTGCTTTGCCTCAGTCCTCTGGTACCCTTGCTTCACCTCGGCCACTCATCACCGCAGCTCCGCCTGGGTGTCTTGGTCCTCCGGTCTCACCTGGTCTCTTCGGACATCGGACTCCACCTGGGTCTCTACATCTCCCAGTGGCACCTCTGTCGGTTGGGCTCATGACTCCACTCTGGCTAATACCTCACAGATTTTGTTTTGGTTCAAGGCTGAGAAATGTGCTCAGCCATGTTTGCAGAATATGACTGCGCATTGGTGATTTGGGGACTTTTTTTCTTAAGTAAAAAAATTGTGCATGTGATTTTTCTGTATATGTTAAGCACTCATATGGAGCATACTAACCTCAGAGAAGGTGGGGAATGAGGGATCTCCAGGTTTTGGAGGATCTGTCATGAGGTCAAGTGCAATTTGTCCACCAACAGGTGGGCTGGACCTAGTGGAAAAAAATGTACGAGTGTATTCCTTCACGGCAGGGTCAAGATTCACCAGCTCCATGTAGCCACCACGAAGCCCACACCTGAAAACAAAGAATGGTCAGAGAAGTAGACTAACATAGATTTGCTATTTATTCCATTTGTTGATTAAATAAATGTGCATCTGTCAGAGTCACTGGCCCACTCCCATTATTATTATTATTTGTATCCAGATTAATATTAATATAAGGATCGATACACTGTAATTATATATAGAGAGTAATCAAGGAAGAATAATACTCAAGAGCATAACATGCTACTCACTCTCCCATGAAGCCCTTGGAAGCAGAATTAAAGGAGGCCAATTCCACAGTGCTGGAAATAGTAGAGCCCATTTCTGATAACACCTTCTTATAGGATTCAAACTCAGTATCTTCTCCGTAGACACAGCTCTGATACACCTGAAGAGAAAGATACAGCTCACAGTCATGTCAACGGAGGGTTCAAGAACAGAAGTGTGCAATATTGCTCCTGCAGGGCCACTTTTATGCAGAGTTTAGCTGTAAAGTTCGAGACACACCAAACCGATGGTCGGCCATTGGGCGATTTCGGGCCGTTTTTGAGCTTCAGTCAGCTTAATTTTGTCGGTATGTTCCGAACCGTTGGCTCTAGTCGGACGCCGTCAGGGTTTATTGGGCCGATTCAACATGGTGAACATGACATCGGGCCATCGGTGAGAGAGAACTCTGATTGGCTGTTCAGCTTAGCAAATGAGTCAGTGCACGAGAATTAAAGCGAAAGTGATGAAAGCGAGCAAAGTCGTCAAGACAGTACAGACAGAAGGCTGTTATAATTTTAAATCATCTTACCTGAGCATTCGAATGCACGAATATGTCAAAATAACATGAGCTGACTGGAATGAAGAAAGTGATCGGCGTGATTAATATTTTCAGGTCGCGATCAGGAACAGTAACAACAACTCCACTCTACTGACTCTCGGTCTGCATACTCTACCGGTAAGTGTAATGCTACTGACACCTAGTGGTTAGTTTCTGTACTCACATCTACAATGGTACTATCACTACATCCCCTTTCCATTAGAGGTAAAGAACAAGTTATTACAACTAATTACTTATATATTAGCTAACCACTAAGCAAGCAATGTACACATTATACAAGATGTAATGCATCAACCAACAATCTCAAGAATTATTTACATTGCAATCACAGTAATAATAATCAACCGATTAGATTTCCTCTTGTCTTTTCTTTCTTTTTATAATGCTTATATTATGTTATGTTTAAGCAATATTCAAAGGTCAAGTCTATCAGGAGGCTTTACTGTGCGTTTCGATCTTCTCAGTACAGGTGAATGCAAATCTGAATGCATTTCTTTAACTGGCTCTTTGTCATCCAGCACTGGTGTTGTTGACTCTGCACAGTCTGTGTCACCTGTATATGTATCCACTAGTACGGTCTCTTTTGTTTTCAACAGACTTCTCCGATTTCTCCTCAGGATTTGACCATCCTCTGTCCTGACTGTAAGATCTTGGGTTCACCTCCTCCAGGACTGTGGCTCTTTTATTCCAGGTATTGCAATCCTCATGTCTTACTGTGTCATTATTGGAGAGTGGTTCTAGGCTTTTTGATGTCTTGTCATAATTAGCTTTTTGTCTCCGTTTCAGGTGCTTTTGTTTTCTTTTCAGGTACTTGTTCTTGTTTGGTGTTGCCAAGCAAGGAAGTGTGGTTCTTAATCTGCGCCCCATCAGGATTCTGCAGGAAACACACCGTGTTCTAGTGGAGAAGCATGGTAATTCAGCAGAGCTAAATAAGGATCTGATTGGCTGTCCACTGCTTTCTTGAGTAGTAGTTTCACTATGTGTACTCCTTTCTCTGCCTTTCCATTCGACTGCGGATATAATGGGCTTGATGTCACATGTTGAAATCCATATTCCTCAACAAACTTCTGGAAGTCTTTGTCACTGTAGCACGGCCCATTATCACTGTAAACCACCTGCGGAATGCCGTGTCTCGCAAAGATGGATTTTATGTGTGTTATCACACAAGCAGCAGATGTATTGGAAAGGAACGCCATCTCTGGATAGTTTGACAGATCACTATCTATCACTAGCAAATAGTTTCGTCCATCCATGAAGAATAAGTCAGTCCCAACTTTCTGCCATGGTTCATCTGGTGGATCAGTGATGATCATTGGCTCCTTCAGTTGCTTAGCATGATGCTTCAAGCAAGTATCACAGGTTGACACCATCCTGTCGATGTCTGCGTTTATTCCGGGCCAATAGATTGCAGTCCTAGCCCTTCTTTTACATTTTTCTGCTCCAAGGTGTCCCTCATGCAGTTTTTTCAGCATCTCCTGTCGCAGTGACTGAGGGATAATGATCTTGTTCTGTCTCAGCAGACGTCCCTTGACAACACTCAACTCTGTTCTGATGTTGTAGTACTGGGCACATTCTCCCCTAGGCCAACCTTCATTCAGATGTGTAATGACCAATTGCAGACATTTATCTTTCTCAGTCTCCACTGCAATCTGTTTGAGTTTTGCATCTGTGACTGGAAGAGCTTCAGCTACCATGTTCACATGCTGAGTCACATTAGCCTCTGTGGAACTTTCACTTTTTCCACTCTGTTCCGCAGCTCTGGACAGAGCATCTGCCAGAACTACATACTTTCCTTGAGTGTAAATTAGCTCCATATCATACCTCTGCAGTCGCATCATCAGTCGTTGGATTCTTGGAGACATTTGATTCAAGTTCTTTTTAATGATGGCTAATAATGGCTTGTGATCTGTCTCTGCCACAAAGGTCGGTAAGCCGTATACATAGCTGTAAAATCTCTCCACTCCATACACTAAACCCAGGCACTCTTTCTCTATCTGTGCGTATCGACATTCAGACGGAGTCATCGTTCTCGAGGCATATGCGACTGGCCTCCAATTCTCTCCCTCCGCCTGCAGTAGAACTGCACCCAGTCAATCTTTGGATGCATCTGTCGAGGTCTTTGTCCTCTTTGTTGGGTCAAAGAACGTCAGCACAGGCTCTGTAGTGAGGAGAGTCTTCAGTCGTCCCCAATCTTGTTCATGATCAGCTGTCCATTTGAACTCGCCTTTATCACGTAACAGTTCTCTCAAATAAACTGTTTTTGAAGACAGGTTTGGTATGAACTTTCCGATGAAATTTTCGTCACTCTCAATACAGCCTTTCTGTTTGTGGCTCTGAGCATTTTAAGTATTGCTTGAATTTTACTCTTGTCTGGTTCCACACCCCCTTCTGACAGCTTATCTCTTAGGAATGTGATTTCCGTTGCTCCAAACTGACATTTGTCTTTATTCAACTTCAGCCCATACTTCCTTACTCGCTGTAGGACGTCCATGAGCCTCTTGTTGTGCTGCTCTATTGTGGATCCCCACAATACAATGTAATCCACATAAACACGCACACCCTCGATGCCTTCTATTATGTGTTCCATAGCCCTGTGGAATACTTCAGGAGCTGAGGAAATTCCGAACGGCATCCTCAAGAAGGAGTATCGGCCAAAGGGTGTGTTGAATGTGCAATACTTTGTGCTGTCCTCATGTAGTTTCAGCTGCCAAAAGCCCTGAGATGCATCCAGCTTTGTAAAGAACTTTGCACCTGCCATCTCACTTATAATTTCTTCACGTGTCGGAATTTGATAATGTTCTTTCTGAATGTTTACGTTTAAGTCCTTTGGATCTATACACACACGTAGATCACCATTGGCTTTCTTCACACACACCATTGAGTTAACCCACTCTGTAGGCTCTTCCGCTTTTTCTATGACTCCCATTGATGTCATTCTTTCCAGCTCTTTCCTCAGCTTATCACGAAGTGGTGCTGGAATCCGTCTTGGTGCGAGAACTACTGGCTGCGCATCTTTTTTCAACTGTATTTTGTAGGTGAATGGTAATACTCCAAACCCTTCAAATATGTCTGGAAACAGTTTCAATATATGTTCCACACTGTTCTGTGTTTCTCCTTTTTTTATGGCGTATATTCTTCTTACTAGACCCAGGTCTTCACATGCCTTGTCTTCCAACACAGAATCATGGCCATCTGGAACAACCACGAACATGAGGTGATGTTCTCTGTTTTTAACTTTTACCCTGAGAGTGCATGTTCCTTTTGTTGGAATGTTCTGCCCATTATAGGCTTTGAGTTGCACAATTTTCTGACTTATACGTGGCTTGATTTTCATTGCTTTGACATCATACTCCGAAATCAGTTTGAATTTTGCTTCTGTGTCTAGCTTGAGCGATACTGTTACTCCGTTTATTTTCAGAGCAGTCATCCACTTGTCTCGTGCAACACTATTCACATCAGTCTGTTCTGTTCTTTCTTGACTGATATCGGCCTGCTGCACCATTCCAACGAAGAATGAGTCACTGAGGGCTGTTTCTTCCACTGCATGCACACGTTCCCTTTGACTTTGTCCGGCCTTTGAAAAGCATTGCTTGGCAAAATGATTCTGTCCTCTACACTTGGCACAAACTTTGCCGTAGGCTGGGCACTGTTTTGGCGGGTGTCTTTTGCCATATCTCTGACAGTTAAACAGTTCTTTCTCCTTTTGCTGTTTCAGTTTACTCATTCTGCTTTTCTGCATCTTCTCTGTTACTGCAGCTACAGCTGAACTGTCACTCCCGCTCATCTTTGTGTTGTCACCAAAGGTTTGAGCATGCTGAAGAGCTATCTCACTGGCATGACATATCCGCACTGCTTCATTCAAGGTTAGCTCTGTCTCTCTCAAGAGCCTCTCCCTCACTTTTTTATCATTGATGCCGAAAACAATTTGTCACGGATGGTCACGGATCATTGAATCTTGCAACAGTCCGAAATTGCATGTTCTAGCTTTCAATTTTAAATCCATTAAGAAACTGTCAAAAGTCTCTCCTTGTTGTTGTAGACGAGAATGAAAAACATACCTTTCAAAAGTCTTGTTTTTTTTCGGTGTGCAGTGTGAATCAAACTTCACCAGTACCACGTCGTACTTGCCTTTGTCCTCGGCCTGTTCAAACACGAGTGTGTTAAACACCTCTATCGACTGAGGTTCCGCGACGGTGAGAAGCAATGCAATCTTGCGTGCATCCGACGCTTCATCGAGGCCCACTGCCAGCAAGTACAGCGCAAATCTCTGTTTAAACGTACACCATTCTTGATCAATATTTCCAGTCCAGTTCACAGCGTCAGGCGGTTTAACACTTTCCATGACGACTATCAGCGTTGGTGATCATTACCACTCCTGGTAACATGTAATGTTTCTTATTTCATTAAAGCAACAGGTTTGTAACAGAACTTATCTTTTATTCACTTTCAGGTTGCGAGCAGGAACAGTAACAACAACTCCACTCTACTGACTCTCGGTCTGCATACTCTACCGGTAAGTGTAATGCTACTGACACCTAGTGGATAGTTTCTGTACTCACATCTACAATGGTACTATCACTACACTTTTTGCCCGAGACGCAGCTAACACGAGGCGACAACACAGTCAGCTTTTTCCGCCACTAGATCTTTGACGAATTTAGAGCTAAATTCTGATGGAAGGTGTCCCTCCAGGAACAGGATTGTGTTTTACCAAAGACGGTGCACTCATATTACTTATGAATGGGACAAAGTGCAGCGCGCAATATAGCGGAACAAGACCCGTCTCTAAATAAAAGAGCCAATTGCTGATTGGTACAGTCATCGCATCACTGCAGCTGCCATTAGAAGCTCCAGTTCCTGTAGAAACAAAAAGTGTTTTGAGGACTGCACATGCATCTAGTCTGAAAAATCATGGCAGATTTTGTTACTGATTTGAAATATGTTATTTAATTGTGAGTTTGCCAAGCAGTTTTGAGATTTCAGGATGCCCCTATTCAAGTAGATAGGACATGGTCTTGGATGCCCGAAATAGCTGAAATAGCGTTGCAAACATGGCCGCAGAATGAACAGACTTTCCTTGAAAGGGACTTAATGACAGAGAGCTCTTACATTACTTGAGAAAAACTCACCTCATCAGCCAGTAGGAAGAGCCTTTCTTCTGCAGCGAACCGAATCACTTCTTCTATGGATTTCCTACTCTGTATGTGACCTGATAATCAAAGCAACATTCATCCATTCATAATTACAAGAAGCCATTTTCCTTTTCTCAATTTTTGGTTACAAGATGGCACATATTTCTCACAATAATAAGGGTAATCTATTCCTGTACCTGTAGGATTCCCTGGGTTGCAGATATAAAGCGCTACTGGATTGCATGTCCTTCTACCTGCATGGAGCGACCTGCGAAGCTCCTCCACCTGCAGTGTCCAGCCCTGCTCCTCACACAAATGGTAAGGTATGATGGCAGCTCCCTGGTCCTCCAGAGCCTGGATAACTGTAGCGTAGGTGGGCACAGGTATGAGCACACCAGTCCGACACGAGCCACTCTGAACCAGCAGCTTCAGCATAAACTACAATAAAAATATTTACTTGAAGTTAAACTTATACCATCCAATCTTACATTTTCAAAGAAAAGTGCATGCATGTTTATGCATTTGCTTTTAAAAAATATTAAAAGGTGACCTATTATGCCCCTCACTATGTACTGTAATATAAGTCTGTGGAGTCCCCAGAATGTGTCTGTGACGTTTTAGCTCAAAATACACCACAGATCATTTATTATAGCTTGTCAAATTTGCCCCTATTTGGGTGTGAGCAAAAACACGTTGTTTTTATCTGTGTCCCGTTAAATGAAAATGGGCTGCTTCTCCCGGCCCCCTTTCCAAAAATGCCTTTACAGCTCGTGCTTCGGATACTCCGTCAACAACTAAACCGGAGAATGTCACCCAGCCAAAATGTCAGATAAATTTATGTAGTTGATGTGGAGTTAAGTTGATTCAACTCATCGAATAGCATGTACCGTCATGTTAATCAAAAAATCTTTCAGAAACAACTTTTGAGCAAATCCAGAGTTGAACTGACCTTCGTTTGTAACAGTCCGGCTTTTAATAATTTGTCCAAATATATAACACTTTAACGACTTTCTTTGGCACATTTCCTTCATAAATGAAATGTATCCACTGCGTCCTCAGTTGCCAGGAGTCTATGGAGACTTGTGTTCGTTGGTACATCCAATAACAGAACATTTGTAATGTTTTTTGGCACATACGTATATTTTCAGCTGCTACAACGAGGAACAGAAATGGCGGACTGCCGCGGCTCACTCAGGGCGGGATCTATGCTAATAGGGCAGATCGTCAGTATGGGCGGGGCTTCAGAAACCACTCGTTTGAAGAGACTGATTATGATTCATGGGGATTAAAAAAAGGAGTGGGTGGATTTTTACCATTATAGGCTGGTTGTTTACACACACTATGGACACACATTTGTGTTCATACACCTTATGTGAATTTTGCATAATAGGTCCCCTTTAAAAGGAAAAAAAAAGCGATAAATGATTTATGTTGACTAAACCATGAGAGCCATCTGTGACCCAGATGTGATGAAGATGTTGTCGGGTGAGGAAGGAACTCCTCCGTCTCTCCTGGTAATGAACTTAGACACGCACTGTTTGATTTTGGCGATTCCACACGAATCTGTATATGAGCCTGAAGAGATTGGCACCACATGATAATCACGTACACATGAAAGGATTCAACACTACACACCAGCGATTCATATACTTCAATTAACATTTGATCAGACCTGTTTGTCCACACTGTAAAAAACACAAAAAAATCAACTCACTGAAACAGAAAGCTAAATGTAGCTGATCTCTTGAAGTCGTGACATTTGTCAAACTTTTGAAGTGGTGAAGTGACAATTGCACTTTTCTTTACTTAAATGTATGAAAACAAACAGCAAGGTATGCCACTGTGCATGGACAAAAGCTCACCTACGCTTCCACCATCACATTGTCTAAGAAGACATTCTGCCCTTTGTTTTACATCTAATGGCAGACTGTCATCCTCCAAAAGTGCTGGATAGAAGCAAGCAGCAAGGACCTGAAAAATAGCACACAGAAAAACTGAGCATTAACTGTTCCTATTTCTCATATAGGCATTGGGTTAAGAAATAATATTTTTCCCAACATGTTTTTTTTCTGTTTTTTTCAGTGACTGGTAGAAAGCTGCTACCTACTTGACGAACAAAGGTGATGGGTTTTGTTCCCCCTCTATGGAGATCTCCAGAAGACAAATCAAGCACCTCGTTATAGTTTTTTCTCTCACCCTAAAATCAAAAAAAAAAAAAATATTTTGTCATAAAAGGAACCATATGTTACCCTGTGTAACCATAAAAATGGGATCCAGGATAGAAGTCAGTTCAGTAAATCAGTTAAAACTGGTTTTAATTGAGGATCCAGATTTTTAATCGATTATCAAGCTCCAATATGATACAAAAAAACTGTCGAAGTTTTTCTCTCAAACAACCTATCCATGTAGTCATCTGCCTAATTTCTACTTCGCATCAGATACATTTGCACCAAAATATGATATTAAAGGTCTAAGGGGTTTTAAGTCCGCCTGGCACTATGTTGATATTTTGGCTTCTGGAAGGGTCAATTTTCATAGCAGAGTGAAGAGAGTCATGTTTCTGGATTCTATAGACTCTCAGCTACAAGGTGGATGCATTGACAATACACTTCTTGAGACACTTATATATGTGTTCTGATGTGATATATCACCAAGAAATACAAAAACGGAAGTTCAAATTTTTTGTTTTTTTATTATATAAAAAGAGTAAATCATAATGAATAAGGGATTTTACATCAAATATTGATTCCTCAGAGGCTTTAGAACACCTGTAAAAAAAAAACTGGGTGAAAAAATATAAAGAAACAAAATAACTATTTACTAGGACTGTTGTCGCCATACGTTTTTTTTGTTGGAAAAACAGAATATTCAATTCAAAATGAACATTTATGTTCCCTTTATATTTTCTTATAATTTCTGTGTCAATTTACCAAACACATCCAAAAACAACCTCTAGATCGCATGTGCACTGTATTTGCACATCAGTCGTTTGGCCATGTTGATTTTCTTTGAAAAGAATCTAAGTTTGAACTCTGTAAAATCTGACCAGTACAAATACGTGTATCTTCAAAGCAATCCAAATGTGTTGTTTCCAAAGACCGTATATAAAAGGTTGTGTCTGGGAAGACCCGTGGGATTTATGCCAAACATCCCCTTTTTTACGTTCCTAGGACGACTGACAACGTCATTGTTTGTTTTATATTGGTCTGTGATTGGTTCACACACCAACAGATCATACTTTATCATTAGTAAAGTACCATTTCTCTGTTTTGCGGTAATGCTATAGATTTGCATTCACATGCGGAATTAGGCTTATCATTCGCGGAAGTCACACAGTCTACGAATGGCAGCTTTTCACAGAAAAAAAGTAAGTTAATAGCCTACCTTAATCCATTCCGAAGCTATTAATAGGCATGTCAGGGGTGTGCACTGTGACGCTATAGAGCAGGGTTCCCCAAACTCGGTCCTGGAGGGCCACTGTCCCTGCAGAGTTTAGCTCCAACCCTGATCAAACACACCTGAGCAAGCTAATCAAGGTCTTCAGGATCAGTAGAAACTCACAGGTAGGTGTGTTTGATCAGGGTTGGAGCTACACTCTGCAGGGACAGTGGACCTCCAGGACCGAGTTTGGGGAACCCTGCTCTATAGCGTCAGTCGACTTTGAAGAATAGAAGATGAGAGTATTGTCAAAGTAATACCACACCTGTTGTATTTCAGCCTCAATCTGTGCCGCACATATGGATAAAACATCCCTCTCTGAGAGAAACGTGTTCTTCGCCAATGGGATGATCTCTCTCAGGAATGACATTTTTGTTTCCTGGTGTGAAGATTTTCTTTGTTGTCTGAACTACTTGGTTAGAAACTCCCTTTTTGATGGCTTCTATTCCTGGACCAGTTGAATTAAGCAAGATCTTAACAGTCAGTCAAATGTTCAAAACCACTCCTTACCATGAGTTTCAGTTATTAAACCCAAATCTTTCATCCTATGGGGATTTTGCTTATACATAGGAGCAAAGTTCCCAAGAGTGGGTCGGGCTTCTTGAGACATTAACAAAGACATTGCGATATAAATAGATGATTATTCCCTGCTCAACTTCTCCCTACAGGAGGAATGTGAATCATCTACAGTATTCACATCTCATATGGACTCGTAACTCGTATCATGTGGTTGATGGCTTTATCATTTTGATACTTCACAAAAGTCTGTTTGTCTATGTGTATCTCTATCTATTCAAAAGTATAAATAAATAAAATAAAAATTATGCAGCAGCCCCATTTTTCATCTACCTAAAATGAATGAAACTAAAACCACGTATCTACTTCTAGAATTCTTCAAACATTTACAGAAAGTTCAACAATTGAGATGCAGTGACGAGAGAAGTTCAGATTTAATAGTTTAAATTCATGTCAGTAAGCTATTAAACATTTTAGGTAAAGAAAAAAAGAGTAAATATGCAGCACAAGACGACTACATTCCATTACTAAACAGTGAAATATTGCACGAGACTAAAGACCAGTCTCAAACATTATGTTTATTCACAGCAAAGTCACGGTGAAATGCAGGTAGACTTTCTTTTGGCAAGAATTTATAACAATCATTTACAATACACATATAATCAATGCAATTACAATTCAAATCAACCCAATTCAAAACAATAGACTTTTCATTAAATAATATGCTATGTATAAAAATAAAATAAATGCACTTAATAACCCTGTCTGAATGTAGTTCATTTGTTCCAAACAGTAACAAACTCTTTCATGAGAATTCCCAGTCAGTCAGTTTAAATTTACATAACATTTACATAACATGCATTTATGAAAGTTTTATTCAGCTGATAAAACGGTTGTTTTTCTCACTGTTTACTGGCCTCGTCACATAATGACAAAGTCACATTTAAAACGTAAGCCCCTAAAATAGAGCTTGGCGAACCTAAATGATAAACTGATATTTGTCCAGATCCAGTACAGCAGTGGAACAGACATGAACACTGACTTGCACGCCGTGTGGTAGAGCTGCACGATTAACGCTTGCGATGTGAAACTGTTGAAACCAGAGCCGTTAGGGACTTTGAAATCTGCGTTTGCGCTGCCGCTGATCCGGAGAGAACAGCTGCCATGTAAATGTACAGTATGAGGCCGCTTCACAAACACTCTTTTCAACCACACATTACTGTTATTTATGCGTTACAAATATTTAAATAACTGGGGGGAAAAGTGTACTGGGATAAAAGTTTATAGTTTGGGTATAAACACTGATGTCTACGGTAGTGATCAAAATAAGAGTAAATCATCTTTTGAAAGTATTTTGACTCTTGTATGTATTGAATTGATTATCGTGAGTAAAAAAAAAAAAAAGTGTTTGTCATTGAATCGTTCATTCAAAAGATGTATTCACAAATGCTGATTTATCCAATAACTAAAGTCTTTATAAACGAGACAATGGGTCTCATTCATGAAACATTCGTAAATATACGAGTAAATTTGCGAGTGATTTGCGCGTAATGAGACCTTCCCGAAAACTCTTCTCCTGATTCACAAATACTTCGTAAACGTCAGATGTGATAGTGAAATGTGTGTGTGTGTGTGTGTGTTAATGAATTCCAATCAGTCGTAAATGGGATGCGGGTGCACGTTCATTCTCAATTACCATAAATCCCGCCCATTAAATCCGACTGACAACTATATATGGGCATCATATAGGCTATGTGCACAAGCGTAATTTCGAACTTCCGCTATTGTCAGAAGTCGGCATGTCAGTTTCCGGTTTACGGCTGTTCATCCGCAACCGCTATAAACGAACAAGATGAGTGCTGCTTTTGTACGAAAAAAAGAGTTGTTAAACACATCTAAGTTTCTAAGAACTGTAGGTGGATCCATCATCTAACGCCCGTTTCACACATACCCCGTTTGCAGTGCGCGGTGCAGGAGCAACGCGTGCTATAGTCAGTGCTTTCACATATGATGCGTTTGCAGTGAATAACTGATCCGCGGCTGTACCACAAACACATACTTACTTTTTTTTTTTTTTTTTTTTTTTTTTGCGCGTCGCCCAAAATGTCTATTTTGTGCAGCCACTGCGCACGAAGGTTGGTGTTTTTCGGGAAGCGTTGGAAGCTCAAATGGCTGTTAGCGACTTGAAGCAGAGCAAAGTGGCACACAGCAGTGCTCCTAACGCACCATGTTAACAGGTTAGGGCTTTCACTTTTCACACCGTTTCAGATGCGGCACGTATAACAGCAGTGCAGCGATCGTTTCTGCACCGAATCTATTTCTGCTGTGCTGCATTAAAGTGACACCGCATGTTTCGTGGTCAAAATGCACAAAGATTGACCTGAAAATGTAGTAATTTCACCATAAATGTGTTTCATTAAATAAAATGTAGTAATCTTCTCACCATAAATGCATTTAATATACCGGTACTACTATTTTTCACAGTCATCTGAAGACTGTGAAGACCGGGGTAAATCAAGGAAAACTACAATTAAGGCGACATAATGAACAACACTCGTCTCATTCGTGGAGGTGGAAAAACAAGTTCTTTGTGACATGCAAGATCTATTGTAGGCTATTACAATTTAAATGCAAAAGAAAAGGCATGTGAGTCGGCTGTTTTTGCCAATTTTAAGTTTTAATTTAAAATATTTGCCATTTTAATATAGTAAATTTGACCACTTGCTTGAGCAACTTAATATAAGTAATGCATGGAATAATAGCCCTAATTGCGTTGTTTAAATTGTGTTTTGTGCATACATCCATTAAAGAGTGTGTACAAAGAGAATCGCAATGCTGACAACTTTTTTTGAAATAAAAGTTGCAGCACAACTTCTGGATTTTAAATAAAAATAGTAAGTATGTGTTTGTGGTACAGCCGCGGATCAGTTATTCACTGCAAACGCATCATATGTGAAAGCACTATAGCGCGCGTTGCTCCTGCACCGCGCACTGCAAACGGGGTATGTGTGAAACGGGCGTTAGATGATGGATCCACCTACAGTTCTTAGAAATTTAGATGTGTTTAACAACTCTTTTTTTCGTACAACAGCAGCACTCATCTTGTTCGTTTATAGCGGATGCGGATGAACAGCCGTAAACCGGAAACTGACATGCCGACTTCTGACAATAGCGGAAGTTCGAAATTACGCTTGTGCACTTAGCCTATTATGACGTGAAAAAAAATTCTCAGATGCAGAAATTGAAGTTTTATTATCAGAAGTTCATTCAAAACGCCACATTTTATTTTCAAGCGTACATAGTGGCGTATCGGGTCCTAAAAAAAAAGGAAGCTTGGCAGCATATTACAGATGCAGTTACTGGAGTTTCATCTGTTAATCGAACATTCCCAGAAGTGAGAAGAAAATGGTTCAACATTAAGCTTGAGAGCAAAAAATGAGTTAGTTCACTTCGGAAAAATAGTATTCGAACTGGAGAAGGACCACCATCGCAGATGCTATTACTGGCTCTCATAATAAGAAAAACCGTATGTAATTACTATATATAATATTTTTTCAAAATGCTGTGCAAATATGTACCCGATTAAGGTGAATTAAAATGCAGCCTTATTAATGAGCAAAACGTTCGGGTGTTAAGCGCACTATTTACGCGTGGCTGGGAGCAGGTGTAGATTTCTTGTGTACCAACTAACATTTGGAAAATACGAACATTTTAATGAATCCGAAAATTTACGCCGGAACCACTTTACACACGATTTACACAAAAATTCGTTCTGCTCGTGTTTCATGAATGAGACCCATTGACTCCATTCAAATATTTTTTTATTTTATTATTTCATTCAAATTAATGTTTTAAATAGACTAAAGCAATGAACATTTTGTCAGAACCTCTAGTTTGCATGTTATTTTGCTTAGTTGTCTAATGTTTTTTTCGTAATTCTCATTTATCCAGAATCGTGCAGCTCAACCGTGTAGTGAGTGAAGAAGATTCCTAAACTGTTGCACAAGCAGAAATTACAATGCACAGCAAATGAGTTTGTGATTTAAGAGCAAAAGAAGCAGAGTAGCATCTGGGTAAGATGCAATCCTGACTCGTGCATTATCTCCTTTCCAGCAAGGACATTAAAAACAAAGCTTGAAATGCTGTACGTTTAATCAGCACTGAATTTTACACTGAAGTTTTGCCAGGGTTGTTTTTTTTTTAAACTTCAGATTACAGATTACAAGAACTTGTGTGCTATTGTCCAAAATAGACTGTCATCTGTGCCACTTGATGGTACAAACTCAAAGCTTCCGTTTTGTTTTTTTGTTAGCTGATAAAATAAACCAAAATAACTTCTGATGCCTATCCACTTATACTGCTCAACAGTATTCAATTAAGAGAAACCAAGTAACAAATCAATTGGGCAGTTACTAGTTACTGACAACTGCACTGTGACACGACCAGGAAAACCAACAGACATTCTCCATTACATTACCACAATGGGAGTTTGAGGCTTTGTTGCAAGTCAACTCTTAATAAAACTACAAGTGGAGGACTAACATGTCAAGGGCGAGAGCTGGAGTTTGTGGTCGTTCGAAAGTGAATGAATGGGAGTTTATTTTAGGGTTTTAGTCTCAGTACCTGTGTGTATTTACAACACAGTTTCACTGGTTAGATCTTCTTGCTTTTTCCTGTAATAGAGAAAAACAAACACACATTAGCCTGCACACTGTTCCAGCACAGTCAATGTTGTGAGCAGGTGTATTTGCTGGGTGAAGTCACCTGTTGAACGCTACTGGGATTGGGAGGGTTTGGCCGATCTGTGCTGCAGATTTCACAGCCGGGTCGCGTAGACTTATTTATGAATGTACAGGAAGGGCAGGACCAGCCTAGCTAAAGAGAGAGAGAAATATGAAAATACAACTGTTCATTATTTATATCCACATATTTGCATTTGTTATGTAAATGAAGCTGGAAGACTGATCCACATCAAACAGGGGATACAAATGTATATTGCAATGACGT